TGAGAGACCACCCCCTGCGCACCCCGTGTGGTGTCGAGAAAGTGCCACGCCTGCTAGGCTTTGCGCCAGTGTCGTGGATAGCGGCCGAGCTGAGAGACCAACCCCTGCGCACCCCCGGTGGTGTCGAGAAAGTGCCACGAGCTGTGCTGTGCTGTGTTGATCTGAGCCGTGCTGGGCTGTGCTGAGCTGTGCTGAGCTGTGCTGTGTGCTGAGCTGAGCTGAGCTGTGTGCTGTGCTGAGCTGTGCTGTGCTGTGCTGTGATGTGCTGTGCTGTGCTGAGCTGTGCTGTACGAAGAGTGAAGTGTGTGTCGCGGGTGCGGCGCGGCAGGGAAGAAAACCATAACCCCACGAAGCATGTGGGGAAATCTGCAAAACGCTATACAATCGTCTAAGATCATGTGCATTTGCTGAAAACGCATCAAAATGTTCAAAACGCGCCAAAGTCTTCAAAAACCATTTGGGTTTGCTGAAAACGCACCAACATCTTCAACACGCTGCAAAAAACTTCTAAAATCATTTGAATTTGCTGAAAACGCATTAAAATATTCAAATCGCGCCAAACTCTTCAAAAACCATATGAATCTGCTGAAAACGCACCAAAATCTTCAAAACGTAGAGAATCTTCAAAAAAACCATTTGAATGTGCTGAAAACGCTACAGAATCTTCTAAAATCATTTGAATTTGCTGAAAACGCATCAACATGTTCAAAACGCACCAAAATCTCAAAAAAACATATGAATTTACTGCAAACGCACCAAAATCTTCCAAACGTAGAAAATCTTCAAAAATCATTTGAAGTTGCTGAAAACGCTACACAATCTTCTAACATCATTGGAAGTTGCTGAGAACGCATCACCTGACCATGGGTCGACGCCGGACCCTTCGCCTCAGCCTGCCTCAGCCTGCCTCAGCCTCAGCCTCAGCCTCAGCCTGATTCAGCCTCAGCCTCAATCTGCCTTCAGCCTCGGCCTCAGCCTCAGCCTGCCTCAGCCTCAGCCTGCATCAGCCTCAGCCTCAGCCTCAGCCTGCCTCAGCATCAGCCTGCCTCAGCCTCAGCCTCAGCCTCAGCCTGCCTCAGCCTCAGCCCCAGCCTGCTTCAGCCTCAGCCTCAGTCTGCCTGCAGCCTCGGCCTCAGCCTCAGCCTGCCTCAGCCTCAGCCTGCCTCAGCCTCAGCCTCAGCCTCAGCCTGCCTCAGCATCAGCCTGCCTCAGCCTCAGCCTCAGCCTAGCCTGCCTCAGCCTCGGCCTCAGTCTGCTTCAGCCTCAGCCTCAGTCTGCCTTCAGCCTCGGCCTCAGCCTCAGCCTGCCTCAGCCCCAGCCTGCCTCGACCGCAGCATCAGCCTGCCTCAGCATCAAGCCTGCATCAGCCTCACCTCAGGCCTGCTCAAGCCTCAGCCTCAGCCCTGCTTCAGCTGCTTTCAACCTCAGCCTCAGTCTGCCTTCAGCCCTCGGTCCTCGGCCTCAGGGGTGCAGCCTGCCTCAGCAGCAAGTCCTGGCCTCAGCATTCAAAATGTGGCCCGGGAATGAAGTTCTGGGAACTCGAAGAACACGAAGTGGCCTACAGTTGGCTCCGGGCATTCAAAATCATGCCCAAGAATGGAGTTCTGGGAACTCGAAGACCACGAAGTGGCCTACAGATGGCTCCAGGCATTCAAAATGTGGCCCGGGAATGGAGTTCTGGGAACTCGGAGAGCACGAAGTAGTTGGCTCCGGCCATTCAAAATCATGCCCAGGAATGGAGTTCTGGGAACACGAAGACCACGAAGTGGCCTACAGTTGGCTCCGGGCTTTCAGAATGTGGCCCGGGAATGGAGTTCTGGGACCTCGAAGACCACGAAATGTGTAACTGTTGGCTAAAAAAAATCCCCGGCACTTCCCCGGATCGCGCTCAGACCCCCCTGGGGCGTCATGATGCTCTCTTTTGACCCTACTAGAAACCTATCAGTCTTCGCTGTTAGGTAAAAATATTTCGAAAATAATCACACAGAAAATACATAAACAATTAACCAGCTGCCGTTCCTTGCGTAGACTCTACGTAAGGAACGGCCCGAAAACCAGAGCCCATGCTGAGCCCAAGGCGGCGGGGGGAAGGGCCGCCGAGGCGGCCGATGCGCCCTCCTCAGGCCAGGGCCGCCGCGCCTCGCTCTTCTCCGCGGCCGCCGGCGTCGGAGGTGGAGTGGCCACCTTCCAGCCCTCATCCTCCTCCTCGTTCTGCAAGTCTACTTCCTGCCACCACTCCCCTCCTCCACCCCCCTCCTCCTCCTCCTCCTCCTCCTCCTCCTCCTCCTCCTCCTCCTCCTCCTCCTCCTCCTCCTCCTCCTCCTCCTCCTCCTCCTCCCCTGCCTCATCCCTCCTCGTTCTTCCTTCCGTCCTCTTTGTCATCATCCTTAGCGTTCCTCCTCAGCATCATCATCGCCACCACCATCATCATCATCATCATCATCATCATCATCATCATCATCATCATCATCATCATCATCATCATCATCATCATCATCATCATCATCATCGTCACCACCATCACCACCATCAGCAGCATCAGCATCATCAGCATCAAAATTGGCATCAACATCATCATCATCCTCACCATGATCATCATCATCAGCATCATCAGTATCATCACAATGACTATCTTCATCACCATCATCATCATCAACATCATCATCATCATCATCATCATCATCATCATCATTATCGTCATCATCATCATCATGATCATCATCCTCATCAGCATCCTCCTTACGGTCAACACCATCATCATCATCATCCTCATCTTCGTCATCATTATCACCACCATCAGCATCATCATCACCATTACCAGCATCAATATCATCATCATCCTCATCCTCATCAGCATCCGCAACAGCAGCATCACCATCACCATCACCAGCACCATCATCATCATCAGCAGCAACAGCAACACCGTCATTATCATCATCGTCCTCCCCACCATCATCATCAGCAGCAGCAGCATCAGCATGATCATCACCTTAATCGTCATCATCATCATCATCATCATCATCATCATCATCATCATCATCATCATCATCATCATCATCATCATCGTCAACAACACAAACACTGTCGAGCGACGACCCAAACACCGAATGAAATCCAATAAAGGCACCAACAAAGACAACCCCGGCATAGAAGACTGATGACAAAAGAATCCAGTAGACAACACAATCATCATCAACATCATAATCACCGTCACCATCAGCATCCCCACCATCATCATCACCACCACCACTGCCATCGTCATCATCAGCAGCATCCGCACCATCATCATCACCATCAACATAATCATCATCCTCCTCATCAGAAGCAGCATCACCACCACCACCACTATCATCATCATCATCATCATCATCATCATCATCATCATCATCTTCATCATCGACATCCTCATCATCACCATCATGGTCATCATCATCACCGGCATCACCATCACCATCATCAGCATCATGATCATCATATTCCTCACTGTCAGCATCGTCATCAGCATCACCATAAGCATAATCAATCGAATGATCAACATCATCAGCACCATCATCACCAACATCACCATCATCCTCATCATCATCAATATCATCATCACCATCGTCTTCTTCATCATCATCAGCATCATCATCACCATCGTCGTCTTCATCATCATCATCATCACCATCATCATCATCATCATCATCATCATCATCATCATCATCGTCATCGTCGTCGTCATCGTCATCACCAACATCATCCTCCGTCCTCGGCCACCTCCTCACGATGATCATCCCGAACGGGTCCTGCCGCCGCCTCAACTGCTCCGCCCCCGTTGTCCGCCTCATCCTCCCCCTGCCCCATCCCCTGCGCCCGACAATTACAATCAAAAACGATAGTAAGGACGCGCGATAAGAATGGAAGCCCCCTGGACGCCCATGTCGAAGCTTCTCGGGCGGGGCTGGCCATCGAGAGTGGTTAAGGATGGTCCGAAGAGGCAAGGATGCGAGGGTGCTCTTGGGAAAATTACTGATGACTATCATCGTTTTCAACTGTATGCTTATGTTGCTCCCATCCCACTTAAGGACCACATCCCAGAAATAATTTCGAGCACCCGGAAAAGTGTCAAAAGAGTGTCGAAACAGTGTCGAACCAGTGTCGGGCAAGTCTCCCAGGGCCTGACACGTGAAAACCCTTGAGCGTCGGTACTGTTTTGGGTGCCCGAAATTCTTTCTGGTGGTCAAGGTTAAAGTAGGTTGGAGCATCATAACTGTATGCTGTCCCCTTTTCCACCGCATCGGGCACCTCATCGGGTTTCTTCTGGTTCGGCTTCTCTTGGGCTGATGCGCCGCACTCCATTCTGTGGCCGGCGCGGTGAACCTAACTGCTCTCGCCGGGCGTGTGCTCGCCCCGGACGTTGGCGCCCGACGTCTGTGCTCGGTCTTGAGCAGAAGGAAAATCACGAAAGCCGGGGCAGGAGCAAGGTAACTGGGAGCAGGAGGAGGTGGAGGGGGAACTGAGGAGGAGGAGGAGGAGCTGAGATGAGGAGGCGGAGGAGGAGGTTGGGGCGAGCATGACCGTGCAACGTCAAAAAAAAAGAGGAGGAGGAACCGCGAGTTGGGGTAGCGCTCGAGAGTACCCCCGGGGAAGGAGGGAGAGGGGAGGTAGTAGGAGGAGAGGATGGAGAAGGAGGAGGAGGATGAGGAGGAGAAGGAAGGAGGAAGGAGGAAAGGAGGAGGAGGAAAAGGAGGAGGAGGAGGAGGAGGAGGATAAGGAGGAGGAGGACAAGGAGGAGGAGGGTCGCGGATGCTGGAACGGGCGGTCCCGAGCATCGGCGGCTCCAGTGGAGGCGGAGCTGGGGTCCGCAGAAACCGGCAAAAATCACGGCCCGAAACCGCGGCCCACCCGTGTGTCCCAGTGCTGGGCAAGGGAACCCCGACCGCGGCATGGGTCGCGCATAGTTGACACTGCGGCGGCGGCCGCGTGTCCGCCTCCAGGCCAGCGAGGTCTGGAGGCGGTCTCGCACACCCAGCCTCGGGGCTCGACAGTGCCTCGAGCCCAGGTGGTGGTCGGAAACACCATGCTGGCGAAGCGTCCCCGGGAGCGGCGACCCGGTGAATGGCGCCGCCGACAGCCGGAAGCCCCACCAGCGCAGCGGTCGCGCACGGTCGGGTCGACGGCGGCACCAGAGCGCTGCCCGCCAGACCGTCGAGGCCCGAAGGAAAAGCAGTGGGCGTCGCCAGGGGCTCCAACCCTGCGGGGGGGCGGGGGCGCTGCGCCCTGGCCGCTGGCTCCGACAGGACCGGACGGCGCGCCCGCCGCGGCGCTCCAGCGATGACTACATCGGTTTCGGCTGGGTTCCGTCACCAGGCCAGGGGCCTCAAGACGGGGCGGTGGGGGAGTGCGGAAAGGCATGGGGTGGCAAGCGATCGCCAGCCTCCAAGCCCGCGAGGCCCAGAGGCGGACCCCCCCCGCCCGATCGTCAGCGGGGGCAGCACGCGGGCGGACCCAGCTTGCACAAGGCCTGAAGGCAGAACCGCAGCGGCGCGAGCGCACCCACTCGCGCCAGCAGGTAAGCGTTCGGCGTTCGGCGCAGTAGCGACGCCGAGGGGCAAAACGCCCTACCAGACCCCAGCGTTGAGCCTGCGTGGGAGAACGAAGTGGGGAGAACTCCTGCTCCGCCCCGCACCCGGAACTCGAGTTCTGCGCTCCCGCTGTAGCCAGAGCGCCGGTAGCTGCATCTTGGGTCGGCCTGCGAACGCCCGTGCGTATGTCCCCGGACTGCGGGACATGAGAACGGCGCGGCTGCTGACATCCTTCTGTCAGGCGGTGCCGTGAGCTGTCTGAGTGGCGCGGAGCTGCGAGGGGCGATCGCGGCTGGCTTTGCGCAGAGCGATCTGCGTCTGAGGCGAGAGCTGGCACTGCGCCACGGTGCAAGGCGTGGCGCATTGGCGCGTGAGCTCCTCGTCCTCGTCCCCCTCTCCCTCGAATGAAAGCCCCCCGCTCCGCCGCTCCGAGGCCCGAGGGGGAGAGGCCAGGAGAAGGAGGAGCTTTTCGTCGGCAAAGGAGCGGCAGGCGCCATCGGCAGCCGAGCCTACAGACTGGAGCCCTGGAGCCGGCGCCGCCCGACGGACCGCTGCGAGCGGGGCCAGAAGAGCCCCTGCGCCATGCAGGGCCCGAAGAGCCTCTGCGAGCGGGGCCCGGCAGGGCACCCGGGGTAGGGGCTGGCAAGGGCCAGCTACCCCCGCCGACTGCTGAAGAGCAAGCAGACAGCAGACGGAGCAGGCAGGGCTCGAGGCCGCGCCCAGCAGAGGGCCACGAGGGCCTCCCCCACCAGAACCGACCGACGCCTCCAGCGACCAGTCGTGCCCACGAGGGGCGCTGCGGAAGTAGGCGAAGCCCGCGACGCAGACGAACTGGTCCTGGGCGGGCTCGCCCGCGGGGCAACCCCCGGGCGCGCGCGCCGCGGACGGGGGCCGGCCGCGGGCGGTGCGCCGGCCACCTGGGGCCGAAACACTGCAAAAGCCGTAGAAGGCGAGTCGCAGAGAATAAGAGGAGCAGGAGGAGGAGGAGGAGGAGGAGGAGAAGGAGGAGGAGGAGGAGAAGAAGAAGCAGGAGGAGGAGGAGGACAAGGAGGAGGAGGAGGAGGAGGAGCTGAGATGAGGAGGCGGAGGAGCAGGAGGAGGAGCAGGAGGAGGAGGAGGCGGAGGAGCAGGAGGAGAGCAGAGGAGGAGGAGGAGGAGGAGGAGGAGGAGGAGAACGAGGAGGAGGAGAACAAGGAGGAGAACGAGGAGGAGGACAAGGAGGAGGAGGAGGAGGAGGAGGAGAACGAGGAGGAGAACGAGGAGGAGAACGAGGAGGAGGAGGAGGAGGAGGAGAAGGAGAAGAAGAAGAAGAAGAAGAAGAATAAGAAGAAGAAGGCAAGGTCAGGCTAGCCAGCTTGGGCCAAGGCCTCACTCTCCGCCGCATCCACCGCCACCCTGCCCCCCAAAAGCGAGCGCCAGTGCCAACACGACTCATTCGAGTAGGGGATCGACTACAGAACTGATGCACCCCAAAGTTAACTTTCCCGCAACATCTACAAGCAATACATCGAACGTTCCTCAGATCTACGGAGGTGTCTTTGTAATTTCAACACGCTCGACGGTAAGGTAAATCTCGGGGTAGACCAATTATGTAGTCGATCCCCTACTCGAGTAATGCATGGGAATGGCGAAGTCTCCCAAACATTGCGAATCGAACGAGTTCGCTCGCGTGCCGCCAACGTTCCGAGCCCATGGGGGGTGCGACCTGCACAAAGACACAGGGCGAGGCGAAGCCATATCTGAACAACATGTTGCAGTGTACTGGTGGCCGTTGCTGCGGTGGGCCCGCGCAGAGGACCTCCAGCAGGGGGCCAACCACAGACGAGCGCTGGAACAGTGGGCGGCGACAATACCGTGCCGTGATGAAAGATTTCCCCAGTTTGACAGGTCGGCACAGGTGCCAATACGAGCACACGTCGCTAGTCGCCCCGCTAGGAACGTGGAACCTGGTACAATGTTACGGGGGAGGTGCTTCGCAACCAGGGCCGAGGGCAATGTCAAGCTAAACGGGATGGCGGTTCGAAAACGGCAGACCGCGTGGGACATCCTCTTTAGACGGTTCGAACTTGGTTCGAAACAATAGGATCTGGTTCGAAACAATAGGATCTGGTTCGAAACAACAGCAAAACGAGGGCTTCGCGAAGAGCTTCCTCCGAAATCAGGCGTCACACCCGGTTCGAAACAAAAGGATGGCGGTTCGAAAACGGCAAACCCGCGTGGGACGTCCCTGTAAAACTTGCTCGATTGACGGTTCCAAAACGGTTCGAAACAATAGAAGTCGGTTCCAAATAATTGGGAAACGAGCATTTCGCTTGAGACTTCCTTCAACATGCGATTGGAACCTGATTCCACACGATGGGATGGCGGTTCGAAAACGCCAAACCGCGTGGGACCTCCTCGCCAAAATGGCTTTCTTGACGGTTCTGAAACTGTTCCCAACAGTAGAAGCCGGCTCCGAACAGTTGGAAAACAAGCGTTTCGCTTGAGACGTCCTTGAGAATACGCTTGGAACCTGACCCCAAACAGGTCCCAAACAAAATAATCGCGCGGGACATCCCCTGCAAAATGGCGTGCGCCCCGTTCCAAACAACGACGGCCGCGACGACGACGACGACCACGAGGACGACCACGACGAGATGTGTTCTCGCCTCGCCTTCTGAGTCGGGGGCTGTCCGCCGGCCACAGCTTTTGGCGCGTCTTTCCTCTCGGGGTCTGGCCGCCGCTCCCCGCTCTCTCTTCCATCGCTCTCTCCTCTCTATCCCTCCTCACCTTCTCTTCATCCCCTCCTCTCCACCTCGCCGACCACCCATCGAGCAAGGCGAGGCCCCCCCCCTCCCCCCGAGGACAGCGCTTTTCCCCTTTCCTTTGTGCTATTCCGGTTCCTGCTTCTTCCCTTTTTTTTTTTCCCCCGCTTCCGCCTTCCCCCCTCAGCGAGAGGGCGGCTGAGGTAGTGCCAGGGGAAAACAAAACGCCACCCTTTCCACAGGTGAACCATCCTGCTGTCGCCCCCCCCCCACCCGCCGGCCCCCAAACAACAGGACGTTTAGGAGAGCCAAACCGAAACACGCACGCCCGTCAGGGCTACTTTTTGCTTGTGTCACTGATTGAGGCCTGGTCCTATGGAACGCTAATATGTGTTGAATCAGTTTCCCTTCTTCCGTTGTTTGCCAAGTCGTGTTTTCTTCTTGGTTTGACCCCCGGCTCCGAGGCCCCATCCAGCAGTAAAAACACGGCCTTGTAGCAGTGAGTGCGCATGTGGTCGCAACAGTCTGGGCTCCTGTCGCAAATCCAATGCCAATGCGTCCAATTTACCGCCGCTGCAACTTTTGGGACAAGTTGGAGGGAGGCGGGGGGGAAGGATGAGGGAGGAGCCTGCATCGACGAACTTTCGGCTTACTGGTCTCGTTGTGCTCTGCATACTTGAGCTGCTTGCCAGCAGTGGTGTTCACTGGTGCAATGTGGCGCTCACGAGCGGCTGGGCGCGCACAATCACTGTTGTGTTCAGGCGTTGCTGGACTCGGGTGCAGTCGGGGCGTTGACCTAAGGAACCCTAAATAAGGAACGAGGCCCCTTGTTCCCATAAGTTGAACTTCGACTTCCCATGGAAGACGAAAGGAAACCCCAAGGCAAACTGTACAAAAATCAAGGAAGACCGAGCCCCTCCCCAATGAAAAGGGTTCCTTCTTCAGCGCCCTGGCTGTAGTGCTGATCCGGCTCCGAGGCCCAAGCTAGCAGTCGAAGCATTGCCTCCTAGCAGAATGTGTGCGTGTTGTCGCAACAATCTCGACTCCGATCGCACACCCAATTGAGCAAATCATCCGGTTTGTCCTTGCTGCAACTTTCGGAAAAAGTTGGAGGGAGGCGGGGTGGAAGGATGAGGGGGGAGCGTGCATCGATCGATTTTTCAGGGTTTATCGATATTGCTGTGCTCGGCGTGCCTGGTGTTCACTGGCATTGTGGCGCTCACAGGCGGCAGCGTGCTCACAGTCACAGTGGTGCCCAGGCGTTGTTGGACTCAAATAGCATTTATCCGGCGCAGGCCGGATCCAAGCGGTAAATAACGACTCTCTTGGAAGAAATGCGCGTGTGGTCGCGTCCATCTCGATTCCTATCGCAAATCCAAAAAAAATCATCCAGCTTGCCCTCGCTGCAAGTTTTTGGGGCCAGTTGGAGGGAGGAAGGGTGGAAGGATGAGGAGGAGCTTGGCGATGTGGTTGCCACAGGCATGGGTGTTCACAGTCACTGGGAGACTCAGGCGCTTCTGGGCCCACGTAGCACTGATTGCATTTCGGTGCAACCAACTCCACATCACAACGACACCGATGGAAACACCCCCTCATGCCATGACGGAATTTGGCGGTCAAGCAAAATTCAGAGCCCGAGGTCTCAACCCGCAAATTGTGCATCATTTCTCCACCCAGATTGTGACGTGGGGGTCCGAGTGCCACAAGCAGGGCGAAAAATGGCAGTCGATACACATACACGCATATACTCTTACGTTGGCGGCTAGGCAGAGTGACTGCGCTGGCGAAAGCGGCGTGGCGAGGCGAACGGTGCGCGAAGTAGGCCACCATGCAAAGGAGGGTGGAGGAGGCGCCCGGCGAATACACGCACCTACACACCGTGTGAGACACGCCTTGCGTCTCTTTTGCTTCTTGCTTCAGAGGTCGGAGCTGGACCCCTTCCCCACAACCTTCCCTGGTGCGCAGAACGCGCTGGGGCCGGCGCCACGGCGTCGCCTGGGGGCGTGGAGAGGGGACCCAAGTCCGGCCCAAGAAATCCGAGCGGACCCCCGAACGTCTGCGCTTGCGCAGGCTTGTGGCTCTCGACGCCTGGAGGCAGCCCCTGGAGGCTCCCAGGGGCAGCCGGAGCCCTCTGGGGCCCTCCGCTCACCAAGAGGCGGGCCAAGGACAGACCGACGACGATGACGACGGTGGCGACGGCGACGACGACGACGACGACGACGACGACGACGACGACGACGACGACAGGGACGGCGGGGGGAAGAAAGCAATCGCCACGAGCTCCAAGCTGCGACGTGCACGGCAAAGAGCAAAGGGGGAGGAGACTTGCACCCCGCCCCTCCTGCCAGCGCCGGGCGGGGGGGAGCTCGAGGGGCGAGGGCGTGCTCACTCATGCCTTCCCTCGGATGTAGAGTGCAGGCGCGGCCGCAAGAAACCCTCGCAAGAAACCCAGCCCCGAGAACCCGTGCGCGAGGTGCACCTGAGGGGAAACCTGGAGCACCCTGAACGCAGCAGCTCCTTCAACGGCTGCGGGAAGTCACCGCGCAGCGCGAGGAGCAAATAAACCCAGGGTGCCCTGACGAAAAGCACATGATTTCTTGATGCGCGCCCCCACTGTAAAGGAAAACATATTGCACAACACACAAACGTTGGGAGGTCCGCGCGGATGTCTTGGATCGACTCTGGGCCCACCGGTCCTGGACGCGCGGGGCGCGCCGAGCCAGGGAAGCACCGCCAGAAGCGCCGCCGGGAGGGTCTGGCGTCGACCCAGGAGCTATGCGTAACAATATGATGGTGATGATGATGACGACGAAAATGACGACGACAATGACGACGATGATGACGACGACAATGACCACGATGATGATGACGACGATGACGATGATGATGATGTTGTTGTTGATGATGATGATGACGATGGCGATGGTGATGATGATGATGCTGATGACGAGGATGATCACCACGATCATGGTGATGATGATGATGATGATGATAGTGATACTGTTCACCATGGTGATACTGATAATGATGATGATGATGATGGTGATGATGATGATGATGGTGATGATGATAATGCTGATGCTGATGCTGCTGATGATGATGTTGATGCTGCTTCGGCTGAAGATGTTTATGCGGATGGTGATAATAAGTGAATGATGGAAAACGAATGCCAAGAATGACAAAGGAGAGAAATCTGCTTCCGGGTGAACACGTAACTGCCATACACCTGCATTCTGGGAAGCCGCACGTCGCAGGCCAGGAGGGGCGGGCGTCTGTCAAACCTCATCGCGCTCGATGGACGATGACATTTACAGTGGAAGCCAGTCCACAAGAAGCCTTCCACAAGAAATCCAACCCTGAGACCCCAGGACGTCCATCGAGTGTTGGTGTGGGAACGTCGCGCTCTCGACAACACAACCATCGAAACCTAAAGACACCCAGGGCACCCTGGAGGCAGGTAGGATGTTTCTTGGCATGGGCCTCCACTGTACAAGCAAGCACGCCTTGGAATACGCAGAAGCTGAGGCTGGTACGTACTGCATGCAGATTTCATGTGGCCCGCGGCTGCAAATCGACTAACCTTGCTTTAGCATGCGGGCTGCGAAGTAATGCTCAGCAATTGCCGCAGGGGTCTCAGAAGTGCACGGGTCCCGATACTCAAACCCAGAGCGCTTGATCACCGATGAAGGCCAAACGCTGACCCGGGCAGCTTCGCCACCAGTGTCAAGGTTTCCGCGCGCATGCGTGCCCCATGTGCTCCCCCCCTTGTGGTGGTCGACCCCAACACGAAACAGCGAGCGAGCGCGAGCGGAAGGCGTGCCCAGCTGTGCTGCGCAAGCAGATCGTAGCTCCAGCACCTCTCATTATTGTTCCGCTTCGGCGGGACTCCCTGGCGCCCCTCGAAGGTGTTACATGTGTTGCGTCGGCCGACTTATCAAAACGAGGCATGGTTTCTGCGGCTCCGTGGCGAACCGCATGGATGGTCGCTTGGAATGTCCCGCAGAGCCCCCCTACCGCGCCTTGGCATTCTCGCGGGGGAGTGCGACGCCATGCGGTTCCTTCTGCGCCAAGCGAAACAGCGCCTCCAAAGCTCACCAGCGCCCGCCCAAAGCGTCGCACGCTTCACCCAGGGCCTCAACAAAAGACATAGCAAGACCTCTGTCTAGCGACCACCCTGGCCAACCGACACGTGGCACACGCCCCTTACAATTCAGCGTTGACCCGTCGATGTTATATGGGTTCGCTTATGTTTGCCGTATTGAGCATAAGATACATAACATCGTACAGTCACCGGCGAAAGAGACCCACGAGCGATGGGGCCGACCATTGTAAGCACATGCAACCACCAGATAGCGACAGTGCCGCTCGCGAAATCGAGGGTGCGAAATTTAAATGCACACCTCCGACCTACCTGCTCTTGGCGGTGTTTTGTTTCAAAACTGTTGGCAACTCTTTGCCCCAATATGATTTCCGCGCGCGGGGCCTGGTTCTACGGCCGCGCGCCTTGGCAGCCCCCAGGGGGGGTCCGACCTGGTTCTCCCTCCCCTCCCCCTCCCATCCCCCTTCCTCCTGCCTCCTGCCTCCTGCCTCCTCCTGCCTCCTGCCTCGTGCCTCATCCTCCTCCTGCCTCCGCCTTCTCCTCCTCCTCCTCCTTTTCCTCCTCCTCCTCCTCCTCCTCCTCCTCCTCCTCCTCCTCCTCCTCCTCTCCTCCTTCTCTTCCACCTCCGACGACGAGACAGAGACAGAGACAGAGAGAGAAAGCGAGAGGAAGGAAAAAGGGGAGGGAGGGAGGCAGGGGGAGGACGCGGAGGAAAACGCAGGAGTAGGAGGCGGAAGGCGCGGGGGCGGAGGGGGGGGACGAGGACGCGGAGGTTGCCAGGGGGGGGTGGAGCAGGAGGAGAGGGCGTCAGTGTGGGAGGAGAGGGCGGGGGGCGGGGGAGGGGGGAGAGGATCCTTCCCAGTCGTGGGGCGCGGCGCCGTGGGCCGAGACGCGCAACGCTCCCGGGCGCCCCCGCGCGTGCGGCGGAGCCCCAGCGCCGCGAGCGCGTGCGCCGGCAGCGGCCTCCCAGGTCCCCGGCGGCTCGGAGGGGGGGGGGGCGGCGGCGGCGAGTGACGCGGGCGCGGGGAGCACGAGCCTCCCTGGCACCGCCCAACGCCCGACTCACGAGCGGCGAACATGTCCTCCTCCTCCTCCTCCTCCTCCTCCTCCTCCTCCTCCTCCTCCTCCTCCTCCGCATCTCTGCACGTATCCGCGCCCTCGCTGGGGAGGGGGACGGCCGTTTAGAAGGAGACTGCTTCTTAGAAGGCGCCGGCCCCACAGCTGCAGACGAGGCCTGGTCCTTCTAAGAAGCAGGGGTGTTTCTAAGAAACCTTCCCACGTCCCCCCTAGCCCCCTCTGAGCGTGGCCGATTTTAGGTTCCGGGGCGCGGTCCCGTGGAGACATATCCCGCTCCGCGCGCATCCGCGAACAGACGCCCCGTACCCGTGGGGTCGCGGCCCAGGGGCTGGGCCGGCGAGGCCGCGGGTACGGACATGTTTTGCGCCCGCGAGCGAGGCCAGGTGGCATTTCGACAGGGGGGTAGGTCGAGGGAAAGGGAGGGTTCGGTGAACTGGGCAACGGGGGGTCTGGATGTGCCAGGAAGAGATGTTAGGATACTGCTGCGAACTTCTAGCATTTAACGTAGATTCGGCGCGGGGATCCCCATATGTGCATCTCTTTCCTGGCACTGTCCTTAATGCGTGTTTGAGCGTGTACTAACATGACTAATTCGGTGTACGACTTGACCGGAGAATGAATGAACCAGTGTGAGTTTGAGTGAGAATCAGTCTGGGTATGACTCGCCAAATATGAACGGGTCTGAAGATGAGTCGGTTACAACTGAACCTGGGGATGGGCGAGTCTGAGTATATATAGGTATAAACACATTATTATTATTATTATTATTATTATTATTATTATTATTATTATTATTATTATTATTATTATTATTATTATGATGATTATTATTATTATTATTATTATTATTATCATTGTTATGAATAGTATGTTTACTAGTATTATTGATATTACGTATTGTTATCCGTAGTATTGTGATTAGTAGTATTATGAGTATTCCTATTCTCATTCTATACAGATTTACTAGAACCATCGCGCGCCGCTTCGCGCGCTCTCAGGTTCTAGCAGGCCCCAGTCCTTGACGGATTTACTGCTCTACTGAAGTAAGTAGTGGACCACAGTCCACGCATACCAATCTGCATTCCGAAAGGCCTTCGAGGAAAATGGTTGTGTAGGGGGGCGGAGGCCGTATGAATCGGGTTTCCAGAAGGCCTTCTGGGAGCATGGGTTTGGGGCGTCTGGGGGAGCCTGTTAGGGCGTGCCGTCGTCGTCGTCGTCGTCGTCGTCGTCGTCGTCGTCGTCGTCGTCGTCGTCGTCGTCGTCGTCGTCGTCGTCGTCGTCGTCGTCGTCGTCGTCGGCGTGTTGCTACGACCCATTCCCGAACCTGACCTTGGGGGTGGCCTAACCTGGCGCAGCCCCGATTGGCAACAGACCCGACACGTCCCGTCCAAACTGAACGCCAGGTTCGCACTCGCCCAGCACGAAGGGACGGCAGCTGTGGTCGCGCGTTTGTCCCTCGGACAGCAGGCCGAGTCCAGTACGTTTTTTACTACGGGGAACAGTGCTTAATTTGTGAGCCTTTGAAAGGCCTCGGTGGGGCCCTCTTCAGCATTTGAATCGCATCTCGGGGCCTCTGGGCTCTTTGAAGCTGCCTGTGGCCCTCACTGGCGTCCTTCTAGACCCGGAAGTCATGTAGCGCTGGAAGGCAGTTTCACTGAACAGATTCGACGGGGCCCTCACCGGCCCCATGAGCCGTCTTGGGGCCTCCTGGCCGTCTTCGGCCCTCTTGGGCCGTCTCGGGGGGTTCGGTGAGCCCTACAGGCCGACCCGTTGGCGCCGTCTGGGGCCCTCTTTGGTCTCTCTCGGGTTGTCTTGGGGCTCCGCGTGGGCGTCTGGGGCACAGCGAAGACGAAGCCAGCGAGTATGCTGAAAATGCACGTATTACAGAGGAAAAGGGCAGATGCTTGCCTCTTGAAGGCCCTCTTGGGGCCCTCTTCGGCCATCTTCAAGCCATCTCGGGCCGAGCCTCTTGGGCTTCGCTGAAGCTGTCCTGGGGCCCAGTCGGGAGCGCTGGGAGCCTGGAAACCATGTTCCCGGAGAGGCTTCCGGGAACATGATTTCGAACGGGGCCGTCTTGGGCCTCCCTGAGGCCGTCTTGGGGCCCTCCAGGGCAGGCTTCGGGGCCTCTTGGGCCGTCTCGGGGGGTTCGGTGAGCCCCACAGGCCGACCCTTTTGGGCCGTCTGGGGCCCTCTTGGGTCTCTCTTGGGCTGTCTTGGGGCTCCCTGTGCAATGGTCCCGCTTATGACCACTGCCCTGACAGCATCCCTGATAGATGCTACTCTCTTCTCTCTTCTGACAATACGTTGAAATCACTGTAGGGGATGTTGGGCTCGTCTCAAACTGGTCGTCTATGATAGGGCAGTGTCTGTGCGATGCTGATCACACTATGGTAGGGAGCAGGATCTGTTTGTTAGCGGGCAGTTCGCTGCTCTGCGTCTCTTGGGCGCACGCCAGAAATCCAGCGTCGCTGTGACGCTGCAAGGTCTTGAGCCAGAACGGTTTCGGTTGAACCTGTTCTGTTTATAATATATGTTGCAACTTGTTGCTAGGGAAACGGAGGGCCCACTAAGCAAGGCTTGCTGAAACCTGGAGTCTTGGGAGGCCCGATTCGCCGGGAAACGCTTGGCTAACATACACGAGGCTCCTTTGGAGCCTGAAGCATATATATGTCACGCTAGGCCTCTAGGGGCCACCTGTCGTAAGTAGGCTCTGAAGAGGCAGGCTCTGGGCTGTGAGTTGCATGCCCAACAGCTAAAGATCGATGTTACGGCATCGAGACCCGCCTCTGGCAACTGAATTCACAGAAAGCACAGAGCGCGTGAGCGGCCTAATCATGCCCCACAGGGCAGCATCTCCAGCAGGGCTCTCCTGCTCGTCGGGGTTGTCGCGGGCGTAGTAAATCAGGGCCTCCAGCATAGCATCCTCGTTATCGTCTGAGATCGGCTTGCCATGGTCGAGCTTGTCCAGGCCCTCGGTCTTGCGCTTCCGGGCACTGCGGTGAAGTGGGTCGTCCACGAGTCTCCAGCGTTGGCCTGATCTGAAGAACTCCAGCAAGACCTTGGCGGCACGATCCTTGCTCAATCCGTCGGCTAACATGGCGTCGCTGTGTACCCAGCGTATCTGGAGGGCCGTCTGCTCCTTCTGCTGTCGAATGCCCAAGCACTCGATGCTCGTCCGCTTGTCACGTAGTCCGAGACCAGCTGACTCACTCTTCTCGATCGCGTCGTAGCCCGACTTACCGTCTGTGACAAGTACGCCAGGGCAGGATGACATGGCGTCGTTCACGTGCTGCTTGTTGGTGTTGTCCACTTGACCGCACTCCAACTCGTAGATGAACAGTCGCACGTAACTGATCTCGTCCAGGGTCTCCGTCATCATCTGGACCTCCGCACTCGTACTGCTTCTGGCCACTCTGGGTAGCTTGCATGATCTCCAAGAGATAGGCGCAACCGTCTCTGTCGAGGCACTCAGGAAGGACAGGGGGGCCAGAACAACGATTTTTCCGCCTTGGGGCTCGCCAGTGATACGGGCGGCCCATGCTGCATCGCCCCAGCCAACCACGGCAATCTGCTCATATGGCCGGGATGAGCGTGACTACGTCGGCGGTGTCATTCATGGTGCGGATAAGCTTATTGATCTTCTGGATGGTTGAAACTGTGGCCGTAGGTATCTCCGCTTGAAGTAAAGAGACTTCTGCGCTGAGCCAGGGGGCCGACTGCTGAGCTCGCCATCCGACTGTACCAAGTCGGCCTCGTAGGTATGATCTCTCCTTGTCTGAAACTCCTTCTGTTGGTTTCCTCCCACGTCGTATCTTGATGGGCTCCACGTTCAGGCTGTAGCTGTCCTGTGCGAGGCTGCAGGTATAATCCTCGTTCTGTCGAATGCTGATGCCACACTGCACGAACGCTCGGCTTTCCCAGGGTGTCCATTCGAACGCTTGTTGAATCTCCTGACGCTTCTTGAGAAAGGCCGAGTTGTTGTGATCGCCGGCAATCATCATATCGTCGACGTGTAGGATGACCATGCCGACCATCTGGTTGCCGTCTCGGATGACCCAGACGCAAGGCTCGCACTGCACGATCTCCAGCTTCAGCGTTCTGAGCGTGTCCTGGAAATGGAGCCACCACTTGCGAGGAGCATGTACAAACCCATACATAGGCTTGAGGAACTGTAGTACATCGTCATATTTCATGCCGAATGCCTGACGAACATCTTTCGGCGGGTCGGCGTAGATCTCCCTCTTCTCCTCGTCAGTCTCGCCCTGGAGGAAAGCTGTCACTGCGTCTGCCTTCTCCAGCTTCCACTTGTGTCTTGCTGCCATGGCCAGTGGAAGTTGTCGTGCACGTCTTGCGGCAACTGGTGACTCTGTCCGTAGGTGTAGTAGATCGGGGTCGCTGAAGCCAAGCACGACCAATCTGGCCTTGCCTCGGAGCACGTTGCCCTGCTCGTCCTTCTTCCAGGTCAGCACGAAACGCCAGCGCAGTAGGCGCGCCGGGTCGATCCCCTTGCGGCTGAGGATCCTGACAGCCTTCGCGCTGAGGACCGAGGTGCACTCCTTCTGCTGGGCCTCAAGTAGCAGCTTCTTTTCCTCAGGCGTCGCCTTCTTGAAAGAAACCTCCACTCGGCCCTTCCGGGCCTGTGATGCCACGAAATTGCTAGGGTTGTCCATGTAGGCCATGAACGCGTGCTCGTTGCTGACGGGGATGTCCAGCACGATGAGCTCGTCGTCCTCCTTCGTCTCGTCGTACTGCTGGACGCTGTAGGCGTAGTCCCCGTAGAAGTTGCCTTCCTGCAGGTAGTAGGAGAAGGCCTCCTGGGTCGCTGTTGATCCTCTGCTTCTTAGCAGGTGGCTCGGTCGAGCCAGGCGACCGCAGCCGGCGCTTGTCGTTCATGTCAGGCGCCGTCGTCTCGTCGAGGTCGTCGTCCGTGTCCACCGCAATGGGTTGCTGAGACGGACGCTCTGCTAGGTCGTCGTCGGGAGGGGCCTCCATGAAGATCTCTTCTTCTGCAGGTAGCTCGGCTTCCTCTTGGTGTCCAGCTTCGTGGCCTTCCTCTTGTGGAATGCCTGGTGGTGCTTCTGGCTGTACTGGCTGTATGAGAGGGTCTTGGACCTCGGCCGCCTCGGCCCAGGGATTGCCCTTCTGCCGTAGTCGCCTTGGAGGTCGCGGTCCAGGAAGAGGTCGCTCTTCCAGTCCTGGGGGTGCCTCGATGGCTCCACCACCTCCGCCGCCTCCTCCTCCTCCTGGGCCCAAACTCCGAGGATCTCCTCGTGGCACGGGTAGCTCCTCGTCTTCTTGAATGGCCCAGGGTCCGCTCGCGTTGCCCTCGAAGGTGCGAGCGCTGACAGACTCGCCGTCGTCAGCGGCCAGGTCCTCGCCAGTAGGCGGGGACTCGTTCGAAAGGTCGATCACCTCGTTCTGGTCGAGCAGCTTCTGGGCGTCGCCGAAGGCCCATGTCCCCGGCTGCTCGCGACGCGAGCGTAGAGAGTCCATCGCCTCCTCGGAGGGCGTAGCAGGTCGAAGCTGTTCTGGGACAACTCGATAGAGGCGTCCAGCCAGTGTGATGTTGACCACTGTCCCAGGTAGACCAGGTCGATGTCCCGAGCTCGATGGCTCGCGGCAGAGTACTCGTCCAGGTCCGCACCAGCGGCCTCGCCCAGGCATGGGGCAGCTGCCCAGGTAACCCGTGCATGCTATCGAAGACGCCTACGGCGAATCACCGCCGCCCCCTGCCTTTTTGGAAGCGCCGACGTGGCCGAACGTTGAGGCCAGACCTGCCAAGCTATCGGACCACGTGTTCCCCGAATCGGTTTGGAAAGCCTTCGGGGAACACGTGGGCATCTTGAGGGCATTCTTTGGCCGTCTTGGAGGCCTCTTGGCAAGCTTTGGGCGATCTTTGGGGCTTTTTGGGCCGTCTCGGGCCAGCGTCGAGCCAACTTCGGCCATCTTGGTGGGTTCCTGGCACGTCTGAAGCCGTCGGAAGCCGTTTGGGGGGCCTCTATGGGCCGACTTGGGGCCCGCTTGGAATGCTCCAGGGCCGTCTTGGAGGCCATCTTGGGCGTCTGGGAGGCCATCTTGGGCGTGTTGGAGGCCTCTTGGGCCCTCTTGGGGCCCTCTAGGGGCCATCTTGGAGGCCACTTGGGCCATCATGGGGCTCTCTTGGGGGCCTCTTGGGCGATCTTGGGGGCTTCTTGGGCCGTCTTGAGCCGTCGGAGAGCCGAAAAGGCGCAAATGCCAAAATCCTTAAAAAACCAAAGGCAAATCAATGATTTTCGCCTCTTCGGACTCTCCTGGAGGACCTCTTGGAGGCCTCTTGGGCCGTCTGGGAGGCCTCTGGGGGGCCTCTTGGGCCGTCTTGGGCCGTCTTGGACTCTCTTGGGCCGTCTTGGAGGCCGTCTTGGACCATCTCGGGCGGACTTGGAGGCCATCTTGGGCCATCTTCGCGATTTTTTGAGGATGCCCCGAGCGAAACGGCCGTTATTGGAGGATTTTTTGCGGTCGTTGAGCACGTTTGGGGAAATTCCGGGTGGCGGGCGGGTTCTGCCGGAGCCCACTGGGAAGTTCTTTTGGAAAAAGAACCAAAACCAAAACCTGAAACGTCCAGCACGCCGTGCACCCCTGCAAGCAGGGGGCGGCGGATACTGGCCTTCGGCCTATCCCGCCACCGTCCTTGGGTGGTGGGCCAGAGGCCATGGATGTTGACTGGGATCTCGTGATCAGCTTCCTTGCAAGGGGCATCTGGAGGCAGTTCATGACGCTTCTTGAAAAGTCTTTTTTTATGGGGGGGCAGCTTTGGAACTTCTTGGAGGCTTCCTCTTTGGAGCTTCTTAGAAATCTTGGCGGGCCGCTCGAGGGCCTCTGGGGCGGTGGGCTCAGATTTTTGATTATGGGATCCCTTCTTGGACCCCTCCATGGTGATGTCTCGGGCTGTCTTGGGCGCGCCTTGGGCCGTCTTGGCGCCCTCTTGGCGCTGACCGGGTAGCTGCGATAACCTCGCGCCAGAAGCTTATAAGGTCCCGACAAGCGCCGCACCATCCTTCATTTCTGGGAAAAGTTCCCCTAATTCCCCCACCAGTGGCGTTCTTTGTTTTTCGGGCCCTCGGATTGGCATCGGTGCTCGAAGCGGTAGTCGCCCCACGTGTTCTTGAGCATTGCTTGCGGTTCATGGGATCCGAAACACGCGCAAGGGACTGACACGCGGGGTGAAACTGGAGAAGTGATACAACAAGTGGGCATCCTTGCATCTCACTTTATGAAACGATGCTTGGCGTGCACTGTGAGTGCGTGCGATGTCATGCGCGCGCGTGTGTGTGTGTGCATGTGTGTTCGTGCCTGCTTGCGCGCGCGTGCGTGCGTGTCAGCGCGTGCGTAGGGAGGCCGTTCGCGGCTGGCGGCCGAGCCCTTCGCGCCGTTTTAGGCGCGCGCCCGCTGAATGAATCGAAACTGAACGTGCTATTCCCCCCCCCCCCCCCCCCCCCCCCCCCCCCCAATAATCCTCATCCTCTTGCTCCTCCTCCACGGTTTTGTTATTGTATTGTAGTTGTCTTGTGCGCTAGGATTTCGGCTGACAAGACATTGCAGCGGGGCTTGCAGCAGGGGCGCAATACCTCACATGCATGCGGTTCCTGGTTGTTTAAAAAGTTCCTCCGACATCCTTGTGCGATTTCGAAGAGAAGGATCCCACTCAAGGCCCCGAGACGCCTGCGAGGCCCCGAGAGGTTTGAGGTTGTCTGCGGTTCTTTTTAATACGGGATCAATGGGAGCACATCGCCACAAGGATGCTGGATATAAGGCGCTGCGGCGTTAAAGTCAGACATATCTGACAAGAGCATGTCAGCGCCATGAGGTTTCCACCTGCCAGGCCCCCTCTCTCTGAACGGGGGCGCGCAAACCTTGATCCGCTGGCCCCGCCGGGCCTTCAGGCATGCAGGCTGTCGCGCGCGCTTTGGCCTTTCATGGCCAGCCAATGGCGGACCACGTAATCAAGGAGGCCCCACTGCAGGCCGACTGTCTCGATTGATGGGAGGGGGGGCCAGCGGCAAGGGCCATGGGCCTTGGCATGTCTCTGTCAGGTAGCCCGGCCGAACAGAAGAAGCGCACTTGCCCCTGGACGCGCGGCCCTCGCGCGTGCGACACTAGAACATCATCGATTCCTACGTTGCCAAATGGCGACGAAACGGAATTGGCGATCAGCACCCTCCTGCGTTGGCCTAACTGGAGTGCAGCTCGCAATGACTCTTCTGGTTCGACCGTCCGTGGGTCTTGCAGCGAATACATTGCGAATCCGCAGGCCCGCCAGCGCAGACACCATAGGCCCATCCTTTCCTGTTCCCTCCTTCCCCTGTCACCCGCCCGCCCACCCCTCCTCACCTGCCCCCG